AGAGTGAAAGGTTTCTATATATCAATTTATAATATATAGGGAAGGATATATACAGTTGTTGAGTTCATTGTATAAAGCATGCCAGCAAAAATGTTTGAAGATACATGAGTTTATAAATTTCCCTGGACCACATAACCAACAGGAGGTCATACTCACACTTGAGCCCATGTCTGCAATAGTTTTTCTACTATACTTGAAGGACACCTAAATCTATGGATGTTAATTTTGATTATTAATTCTATTCAGTTTAAAAATAAATTATTTGGTTGTCCAGTATTAGCAAGGCCTTGTTCTTGGTGCCAAGATGTATACACAGACGAGTAAAATATGTTACTTACTTTTTAGGAGATGGAACTTTATAGGGGACGTAAACTTCTTTATAATCTTAATGTAAGTTTTGTGTAATAAGGGCAAGAGGTCTTGATGACAACGTCAGTGGGAAAAGGGCGATATTGTTTTGCACTGGGTCAGCATGGAAGAGTTTCTGTGGGTTCTTTGTAAAATGGGTGAATTTGGACTGTTGGAGAAAAGGGAGATGGTAATGAGAATTTATTTGTTCACACACCTATCCACTCATTCATCAATGAAACATTAGCTAAAAACAGAGTAATATGTGTAATTAAATGGGTCTTTACACATGCCATGTTTGGAAGAAATAACTGATGAAAACATGTGAGACATTTGGGAATTCTGAAATCTAGCTATTGGTTGATGGTAAGGCTTTTTTTAAAGTTAATTCCTCTTAGGTGTGATGATATCATGCTTTTGCTAAAAAGGAAGGAAGTCTTTGCCTTTTAGCAATGTACACTGGAGTTTTTTTTTAATGGAGTGATACTTAGCATTTCATTCTAAGTAGTCCAGAGTGTGTGGTTTGGGGGGAATGGGTGGAGGGAGTCTAAATAAAATAAAATGAATCATATGTAGATAACTGTTTGATGCATGGGAGTTTATTATGCTATTTTTTTCTATTTTGCCTCCAAGAAATATCTTTAAAAGAATTTCCAGGTTCCAAGAAACTGGAGGGATATATAATCAGGTAAGACATGTTATATTGTCCATCATTTTGTGGTGGGAATAGACACATGAAATTACCTGGTATGTCACTGTTGTATCCTGTACAAATGGCATGATCCAAGTGCCATGGATCAGTGGGCTCTGTCTGACATGCTTAAAGGCAGTTTGGAAGAGGTTTTAGTATCTCAGAAGGTGAATTTACCAGACTTTGTAATTTATTGAATATGGCATCCAAAGTAACGGGAAATTTGATTTTGAATGCTGGGGGTGACATGTCCACAGTGGAGAGAAACATAGGAGGAGAAATAGGTTGGAATGGGGATTGGCATAGAGTTCAACTCTAGACCTTCAGAGGCTGAGCTACTCCAGAAATGCAGAGATGGTAAGGAATTCACCGAAACAGTTCTAGGCAGAATAATCTTCAGTGATAAAAGATGTGGTGAAGGAAATACACAGACTACATTTCACGGTCCCTCGAGTCTCCAGGTTGATGCAGTGTAGGCTCTGAGTGGGAGTACGGTTGGCTGGAGAGGTAGATGAGGTCATGTTGGTCTCCATCATTGCCGTGGGGCTTGATAAACCTGAAACAGACCAAGTGATTTAAATCTTAAGCTCTCTTGTGGAAGGGGAACTTGATGCTCAGGAATGACATTTTCAGAAAATAGCTTACCAGAAATGAATCAGGATTGGTAAAAAGTGATGAGCATTCTTCTTTTGTTGCTTTGGAATTACAATTTATAGGTTTGGATGTGGGCTCTAGAGCCTCCATGTTCTTTTTTTTTTTTTTAAATCCTGAGCCACTCTCTCTTCCTCTGTAAGGTAGGAATCATAGTATCTAATCTGAGACTAATCAGATGCTGACTATAGACTCCTGATACTTCTGAGAACCTAAAATTATCAGTCCTTATAATCCTCTCTCTCTCCCCGTCTTGTTTCTCTCTCCCTCTGTCCCTCACTCTCTCCCTCCCCCTCCTTCCCAGTGCAGGCCTCACACCAGGTAGGTACTTTACCCGAGCTGTTTTCTTAGGCCTCTCTCTATCGGTAATTTTTGAAGACAAGGCAAAGGACTTGATTGCTTTGGGTAGTAAATGCTCCATAGTTCCTTCCAATGGGCTTTAAGTGCTACTGAAATTGAATACTCCTTTCCTTATGTCTATTACATTACTCAAAAAAAAGAAAGAAAGAAAGAAAGAAAGAAAGAAAAAAGAAAAGCCAAGCACACTCAGGTCTGAGATTATGCTATCTGAATCCAGCCTATTATTTTTTTATCTTCACAGTGGAACATTACAAAAATGCTCTAACAACCCCTTTCCGTCTAGCTTACTTATTCAGCAACACGAGCACAGTTCTTTAGATGCTTTCAGTGAAACAATGTGTTTCTGTGATCTCCAGAAGCGGAATTCCAATGCAAGGAGATGAAGTGTTAAGAAGGCAGGGTTGGCTTTGGGTGTAGATTTAGCTGGGGTGGTGTGGGGCCAGATGCCTTAGACCTACAGAGAGCTTGATGTACATCTACAAAAGGGAGGAAAGTAGGGAAGGAAGAAGCAGGAAGGAAATTGTGGAGCAGAGAAGTGGTGAAGGTTGAAGGAAGGCAGGAAAGAAGGAAGGATAAAGGAATGAAAGGGAAGGAAAGGGATAATAAATACCTATCGAGCACTGGAAGGTTCCCTAAGAAAGGGGTCTGTAGGACCTCTGCTAATTTAAGGCCAGCACGGTCTCTACAAAGCTGGTTCCAGGACAGCCAGGGCTGCTATATAGAGAAACCCTGTCTCAAAAAATAAAGGAAGGAAGGAAGGAAGGAAGGGAGGGAGGGAGGGACGGAGGGAAAGAAGGAGAGGGAGAGAGAGAGAGAGAGAGAGAGAGAGACTTCCTGGTTAAAGATATATTCTAAAGACAGACACTTGCGCCCCTCCTTTTGGCTAGTAGAATAAAGAAACAATCGCAGTCTTCCCAGGAATCACGCTGGGGGGAGGGGAAGGTTGAAGGAGAACCTGCTTTCCAAGAAGAGATTGCACTGTTTTGACAATTTGTGCTCAGACCGCCTTGCAAGACATATTGGAGCCTAGTGCTGTGTCACAGATAGGCCAGATCACAAACAACTTAGCCAGCACTGCTTAGCTTCACATGCCTCTTGCGCTCTATTATTCAGTCTTAATCCTCATGTGAGATGGACTTGAGGGTCACTAGACCTCTTTATTTGTTCCTCTTCTCAATGTGGCTACAGAGAGTAAATCTCCTTCCTTTCTCTGCTTTTCACTCTTACTTGTGTCTTTAATAAGAAGAGAGAGGTGGTAGAGCAGATCTTGTTAGAACTGCCAGAGCCCCGGCTTTGATCCTAAAATCTCCAGTAACAGGCTCTCTGTCCAGAGCCATCCAGAGCTTTCCATTGTGAGCGCTCTTGGCCATTTCTTTTTGGTTGAGCCTAGGGACTGGTATGCAGGAGAGCTGCTTGAAGTGGGGCTAATTGTTCAGTGCTTTCCCATGATGGCCTGGGGCAGATCAGTTTCTGTGCTAAGTAATGGGCAGCAAGACTTAGTTTGCTAATCCAGAAATACAAAACCTCAGTGATTCTAAGGGCTCAGAATGAGGGGGAAAAAAAGAAAAAAAAAAAGAAGGTAGGATCTGGGGAGCAAGGGAGGGAAGGGTGATTTGAAAATAGCTACTGGCCCTCTGGTGAAAGAGGCCACCACCTGGTTTGTGAAGCTTGGAGGAAACAGCAATGTTTAGACTGTTCGCTTGGCTAAACCCACAGCTGCTCCACCTCTCAGCCACGTCCGCTTCTGCATAAAGCACCAATTCTCTCCTTCCATCTGGCCTTCATTTTGTATCAAGACTCTGAACTCCTTTAATGGACCTTCCTCCTGCCTCACCAGGGTTAGTCCCTACTCTAGCTACCCCCACCTTCCAAATTCACAACAGAAAATGGAAGTTTTCCTCGACCCTACTCATCCCCCCCCCCCGGTTCTTTCCCTTTCTGTTCCCCCTTACAAGGGAAGATTTCAAAGCAGCTTTCTCTAGTTCACCTGCAGGCCTCTCAATCCTCTTCTATCAAGTCCATTCACGGGCATGGTCGGATTCTTTTTTTTTTTCCCCTCTACTTCTGTCTGGAAAGTTTTCCTTTTTATGGTACTGCTTTAATACCATCCAAGGCTTAGATTAAAGGCCACCTTTTTACACTATTTGCAGCTCCATCTTATCCTGCAGTCTATCCAAGTGTGATTATTTTCTCGCTTACTTATATTCTCTTTTGCTCCACCAGTAAGGCAGCGTGCGTGAACAACTGCACTCTATCTACAGCATCTGGCCCAGTACTTGGCACATGGTGAGGGCTCACTGAACTGAAGGAGTGAAAGATCGAGTCACACACTGTCCGAAGTGCTTTCGGAGTGATGGAAAAAACCCCTGGATAAAGGCTCTTTTCGTTCTGTCCTGCATGTTAGTACAGGGAGATGTCGTCGGTGGGTATCTTAGCATCATGAGAACCAAGAGATCCGCAATCGCGGGCTGTAATGGGGTGTGCAGGTCAGCCAGGCCCCTGGAGAGGCGAGAGGCCACCTTGGCTGCCTCTCTTTGTTGCTCCCACCTCCTGGGCTCTGGCAGCGGCTGCCTGCAGTGACTCGTGACTCCCCGACAGCCCACGAAGCCCGGCCCGCAAGGGGGGGGGCGAGCGCCCCCAGCCCGCCCTCCGCGTGCCCTTCCAAAGCTAGCGGGTGCTCCGGGAAGCTGCCCCACCGCGGGCTCGCGGCCACCTCCTGCGCGCACCCGCACACGCCTTGCAGGCATCCTGGCCTCTCCCGAGGCGGGGCCCACGCAACCGCGCCCCCTTCCCGCGCTTGCCCAACCGGCTCCCGCGCGCGCGCGCCTGCAGTCTCCCCGCACCACAGCCCCTGCGCTACCAGCAGAGCCCAGGCGAACGCGGGCTCCGCCCTGCCCCGCCCCGAGTGGGCCGCGCCCGCCCCCGCCCCCGCGCGTGCTCCCTCCCTCCCTTTTTCCCTCCCACTCTGGTGCGCCCCTCCCCGCGCGCCCTACATCCACCGCCCGCCCGAGGGGGCTCAGTCCGCAGTCGTCACTGTCGCCGCCACGCTTGGCCTCGGAGCTGGTAGCGGCCACCGGTGCCGCTTAGACAGCTGCGTGGGTGAGCATCCCCAGACAGTAAGCCCGCGTTCCCTCCGTGTGTGTTGTGTGTGTGTGTGTGTGTGTGTGTGTGTGTGTGTGTGTGTGCGCCTCCCTGGGGAGCCGCAGCTCTGCTCCGCTGCCGCCACTCCGGGGCTGAGCCGACCTGCGGGGTTTGGGTACCTGCGGCTCCAGCCTCGGCGGCCTCGCCCACGCTGGCGGCTGCGGAACCTGGGGCTCTAAGGTCCCTTAGGGTGCGTGCCTTGGCCTCCTCTCCAGAGCTTCGCTCCCTGGAGTGTGTGTGTGTGTGTGGGGGGGTGGATTCAGTGGGGGTGGCTCTGGGTCTTTCCTCTGAAAGGATTGAGGGTGGGGGTAAAAAGAGGGGGCTTTTGGTTTTCTCACCCAGGATGGCGGGCAGTGGGGGTGGGGCGAGGTGGGGACACCTTTGGTTTTTGTTTTTTGTTTTTTTTTTAAGCTAGCTAGCAGCAGTTGAGAGTAGCGGGGGGGGGGGGTGATGATGACGACAATGATGGGGGTGCTTCATTGGTTATCCATTAAGGATGGAGCCTGTTGGGCTGGAGAGGAAGGTGGAACCTGCCTTGGTTCCTTCCACGGAGATGTTGAGGAAGCTGCGTGGTGGTTTTCCCTTTGGGGATGCTGAGGGTGGAAGGAGGGGAGTGCAAGGAGAAGGTGAGGGAGGGAGAGGGCTGGTGGAGCGGTTCTGCCCTCCATGGGGAAGGGCAGTCATGTGGGGGATGGGGGTGGGGAGAGGGGACTGGATTTCTGCTTTAGCGTGGACGCAAGAAGAAGGTTCTAGCACTTAGGTTGAATCTTGGTTGAGCCTTGACAAGGTGGGCTAGGAAAACTGCTGGGTGTGACCTTTCTGTATTCAAAAAGCTTGAAATTCCCACTACATGCTGTCTTGGGCACTGGGAAAAAGGTTTCTGCTTCCGAAGTTCCCATGGCTTAGCCTTCCACAGCTAGGTAGAGGTTTGAATCAGAAAGGCTAAGGCAAACTCGGCGTATGCGCTATTATTTTCTGTATTGGGGACTTTAGAATTTCCCAGGCTCATTCTGATTACAACGACCCCCACAACTAAGGTGGCACATTGGGAAGAGGAGGCAAGACAGTATATGAATGTGATTTCGGATTTGGTTTTTGAATTTCCTGAAGGGCAAGAGTGGGACAAATGTCTTTGCTGGAAATCCTCTATACTCTTCATTTAAATTATGCCATTGGGACTAGCTGAGCCTCCTTTGATTTGAATTTGGAACAGATCCAGTTTTCCTAATTGGAGCTATCATTTTGTAATTGCTTGTAATTCTCCATGTTATCAAATGTATTTCAAGTTTATAAAATACTGGGAATATTTTTGCTATCTTGATTAAGGCTGTTTTAATATAAATGGAATGATCATTGGAAATGAGAACATTTAAGGAAGAGGACAAGTTTAAATTCTGGGTCACATGGAATTGGATAGAGTTCCCATCCTCACCCATCCCCAGGAACAGGCCGCTCCCCGTTCCATATACTTCAAAAAATCAAGGGCTTGGGGTTGGTAATTCATGCCCATATTTGCTTAGGAAGATTGTGCATTAAAAAGCTGTGGATCTTCAGTGTGCCAGGACGATAATGCTTTCCCATTTGGGTTACATGAGGTTCCCATCTAGTCTACCTTCAGTCTTTAAACATTTTTAGTGAACATTTTTAAGGGCAAAATAGAGTCTGCATGCAACAGGAGATTCGTTAGCTAGGCCACGATTCGTACAAAGCACCACACAGTAAGTACGCATTCAAATAGTATCATATAGATTCTGTAACCACGCATGGCTTTTGAAATTCTAGGCTTCCATTCCAATATTTCATTTTTTTTTGGAGAAGGGAAATATTTTTTCTAGCATGTCTAGATTTGGGGGTGAAAGGAAGAGTATAACATGCAAATTGGTAGAAATTCCTCTTGCATGAGTTCTTTGGAGATAATTTAATATACATTAAATGAATGGATTACTTAAATAAGATATTGATTTTGTTGCAAATGTTAAAACTAGAGATGTTGAAGTGGAAATAGAGCATGGGTCTACGTGATTAACGAACATATATTTACTTATGCTATTGTGTGTACCATTCAAATGTTTGTGTGATGTGTTCGTGTGTGTTCTGCAGCAAGGCGGGGGTGAGAAAGAGCGCATTTTCACAATCTAATTTAAATCTGGTGTTTTTTCCTCTGAGGGAGAAGAATGCTGAAAGCGGTGAAAAGAAAAAAATTCTTAAGAGGAGCAGTATGTTGGTGGGAAAATGGGCCTTTCGCTTCTCTCTAAACAAAAGGAGCAAAGGGAATCTTTTACTTGGCTTTTTGAGAACCTGTTGTAAGATGGGGGGGGCATATGAAGAACTTTCAGAAATTAGCAGTCTGATGAAATAGTTGTTCTAAATAATCTTTTTTTTATTTTTTATTTTATTTTTATTTTTTTTTAAAAAATATTTATTTATTTATTTATTATGTATACAATATTCTGTCTGTGTGCATGCCTGCAGGCCAGCAGAGGGCACCAGACCCCATTATAGATGGTTGTGAGCCACCATGTGGTTGCTGGGAATTGAACTCAGGACCTTTGGAAGAGCAGGCAATGCTCTTAACCTCTGAGCCATCTCTCCAGCCCATGTTCTAAATAATCTTAAAGATTTGGCTAGTTATCTCTTGGAAAAGTAACATGTAAATTAAGCCTTTGTGTGAGAAATTCAGCATCAGGCCTTCAGTTTGGATATTCATTCATTCATTCATTCATTCAGTTGTTGTAGCACTGGGGATGGAATCCAGGCCTCACACATGCAGAGCAGGCTCCATTATCATGCAACACCACCATCCCTAGCCCAAGTTTAGACATTAAAAACAAATAATTTGTTGAAGGCATGGCAGCTAATCTCCTGAGGCTATGCCCTGTTTTCCTAATCTCTTCCTCCTGGTTCTCCTATTTTCACCCCCCCCCCCCCCCCCCCCCCCGCAACATTGGCTTTTATAACCTTGTAGGAGTTGAACAAATGTTCCTGCTTGCTTGAACTTTAGTCGTTATCTCCTTGGCTGCCCTCCTTAACTTTTGTCTACACATTTTGTTGTTGCTGTTGTTAACTGAACTACACAGTTGTTTGGATTTGGGATACATGGGAGTATATTGTAGTTATTTTTTCTTAAGATATTTTTTTTTCTTTCAGCTCCTGTCGAACACAGTAAAAAAGTTTCCCTCCCTTCCCCTCCCTCCCCCTCCCTCCCCTTCCTCTTTGCCAGCACAGCGCCTAATTAAGCAGAATATATGAGCATTCCTTTCTCCACCAGCCATTTATAGAGTCTCCTCCTCTGATGGAGGCCTGTGTACCTGGTGCCCGGATACCAAGTATATAAGAAATATCTCCTGCCTTTCTGGTGTGATTCTAGAAAAGTATAGATAGTTAATCCGTTCTGATTAATTAAGACATGTCTGGAGTCCTTTGGCTATCCGTATAGTCGTTGTGAATCTATTAAACATTTGTTAGTCTTGCAAACAGTGAAGTCATTTCTTTCCAATGCCTTTGAGAATTGAGACATATTTTTCATTTGTGGTACTATAAATCAATTGTTGAAAATATTTACATATGGACATCTTGATTAAACATTTGTAGACTTTCCTTTGTTGTATGAAAACTGCATAGCATTCTCATGGTCTTGGATATCCTAAGTAATTTGAGATGATTTAAAGTATATGAGAAAATGATGTAGATTATGTGCAAATATAATGTAATTTTATATGAAAGACTTGATCATCTGTGGATTTTGCTATCTATAGATAGATTATGGAACCAACCACCTTTGGATACAGAGAGCCTGTGTCTTATAGGCTAAAGATTTTCTCTTTGAAATTTTTTATTATTATTTTTGAGGCAAAGACTCCTGTACTTCAGGCCAACCTTCAACTCTCAATCCTCCTGCCTCTGCCCCCTGATTGCTGGGAATAGAGGCATGTGCTAGCGTGCCTATCTTTCCCTTTTTTAATTAGTCAATATAATTGCATGTATTTATGAGGTACATTGTGATAGGCTGATTCATAGATACAATGTGTAAAGATATTTTCTATAAATTAAAGGGAGCGTATCATATTTACTGATATTTAAAGTCACCTTTCTTATTTTCTTAGCTGGCTGTCCTGGAGCGCACTGTGTAGACCAGCATCAGCATGGTCTTGAGTACATAGAGATTCACCTTCCTCTGCCTCTCAGTGCTGGGATTAAAGGTGTCTCTATAAACTTATCTTTCCATATGGTGTAGAGGAGTGAGAGATGGATGGCCAGCCTCCCTTCCTGTGATTTAAAACATTTTCTAATGGCAAATTGAGACCAAGTCATTTTTCCGTGGTCAATTTTGAATTACGGTTGGCCATGGGTGATGGGACTCATAAGAGTGAATAGTATTCCGTAGAGCCTTGATAAACCTTTGATCTTCTGCAGAGTCCCATCTGAGATCCTGGAGAATCATTCTGCTTGTGGAATGTGCTGTGGTTTTCATCCCCAGGGAATTTGCCACACGGGGGTCACTGGACAATGCCCAGAAGATGTTTTTTCCCAGATGCACTTCCTGGAATCTAGTCACTAGAGGCCAGGGGTGTTGCTTAAATATCCTAGAACTCATAGGGCTGCAACCCCAGCATAAATGTGGCCATCCTGAAGCCTCAGTAATACCGAGGTTGATGTAATTTCCTCTACAAACACAGGAACACATAACTTCAGGAGAGGAAAGGACAATAGCAGTGTGTTCATGTGACCCTGTAGAGGACTCGGCTGAGCTCATTTGATTAGACTTCAAAGTGGCTAGTTCCTGCCCATCAAACTGAATAATTAGAATAGCAGCTTGTGTTTATGGCACTCTGTTCCAGGTGCTTGCATACATTACATGTTTCTCTTCTTTGGTAAATGAGGAACTAGGTTCAGAGAGGTAAAATAAGTTGCCTTGGAAGTAGAGATGAAAATCTTCTGATGTTCACGGTTCCCCTTAT